AGAGTGCTGTTAGGGTACCATTCTTTTGTGCCCTAGGAAGCAGATGGGTTCCTAATACTATAATGAGATGATTCCTTGAGAGCTTGAAGAGAGAGAGAGAGAGAGAGAGAGAGAGAGAGAGAGAGAGAGAGAGGGAGAGAGCTTTGGTTTTGTTAATTTTGCTAGAATAATAGCATAAAAGAAGGGAATCCATGTACTGATGCACGTGCATTTTGTATCAAGTGGTGGAATGTTTCGGTGAGAGATTAAGAAACTGAGTGATAAACAGTATGTAAGACAAGAAGGGCTTTGTGCTTATCATTCTAAGGAAATTTTTCTTCTTTGTATTTAAAATGTTTAGCTTTTTGCATAAACATTTGTTTAACTTGTTGTTATCTTGATAACAACAATGCTACAGTTTTTAATTTTAAATATATCTCTAAAATATATTATTAAGCTTTTCTATCTGTCTCTGATCTGAACAACACATCAACAGTTTTTAATGCTTTGAGTAGGGCAGCATTTTTTTTTTCTATTTACATAATAATTTTGTTTAGCCAGTATTAATAAATTAGACTTTTGCAATATTTTTTTAGAACCTACTGCAATAGTTTAAACACCTATTAATTTATTTGGAGCGGTTTAGGAACCGCTACAAATCCACTGTATTTGTGAACCGTTGCTACAAAATATTGTGGTAACTTGAAGTTTTTTACAATGAATTTAGCAGTGGTTACTGTCTATATCTATCTATAACAGCGGTTTTAAAACTGGCGCGAAAACATTAACTTTTTGATAGTGAACTAATGTTGTTGTCTATCAAGAGCTCCATGCTTTCTCTATTTCATTATTGTTGTAGCATAATTAATTACTAAAAAATTAGATCATATTATCAAATGACTTAATATTTTATGGTTATTATATGAAAGTATATGATTATGGAAAATTTGTATTTGCCTTTGATCAGACATAGCTGATAATTTTTTACTTTTTGTGCTTAAATGACTACAGATAAAACATTAATCAATACGTAGTAGATCACAATTTAAGATTTTTTTTTTTGTAATTTATTAAAGCACTTTGATGCTAATAAAATAGAATTAAAATAGCAATTAAGAAATTATTGTTTAAATATGTCCTAAAATAAATAATTAAAATATGTTAGTAACATCATATAACAAATGTTGATCAAACCCTAATTGAAATGAGCTCAATATCATTTAATATATATACATATATATAGGGACACTAAGGCCAATTAACTAGGTGGGCTCAAGGTCGGTTAATTAATTACAAATATAAGGTGGGCGCGCACAAGATCAAATATATACATATATTTATGTTATGTTAGATCTAGAGAAATTCATCATGTTTGTGTTCGTTTAGATTGGTGTCAGAGCCTCTAAATTAGAAACCAAAGATTATATTGCTTAAACCAAGGTCGTTTCATTCATTTAAAGCTTTATGGAAGCAGCTCAAGTCTTGTTATAGGTTAATTAACTCAAAATGAGGGATATGCTTATGAGGGCGGTACATCTACTTCAACATTTTATGATGTTAGTGGAGCTGAAGAAACCGTTAGCCAGAGAGTTGTTGCAGAGGGTTGTTGCCCTAACAAGAGAGATAGAGGAGTTGAGAAAGATTCAAGCTGTGATCATATTGAGCTGAAAATTAGAAGAAAAATGAGCAAGAGCGTATACCTGAATCATAGGGTAGCGAGGACACGGACGATAATTAGTTTTTGTTACTTGTTTAAAGAACTAATTGGTGTATTTTGACTTTGAGCATATGGATGTGAAAGAACTTATTTTATGTTTTAAACATTATTTAACAAGTTAAACTTTATATATTTTATGTTTTAAACTGTCAAAGTATTTGTTGTTTGTGAATTTTAGTATATTTCATATATTATATTTTGAATTGCCTGAGTATATGATTAAAAGTATTTGTTTTGTGTTTAGAAATGCCTGTAATGTCTTGTATAATTCATCAGACTATTTTTTGTTACCCTACTGTTCTTTTGATCAAAATTCTATTTCTCTATTAAGCACCAAGAATATTATACTCTACTTTGATAGGATTGACAACTACACAGTATTTTTGCATCAATATTAATAATTGAGAGATTCTTTATGAGATTAAGGCTTCGTTTGAGATAACTTTTTTATTGTTTCTTAAAGTAGCTTTTTAGTACAAAAATTAGAAAGCTGCTTTAAGAAACAGTAAGAAAGTCGTCCCAAACGAAGTCTAAGTAAATGGAATCCTATATAATTGTAACTTTAATAAATTCTTGATGGCACTAGTTTGAATGTATTTTTGCATCATAATCTTAACTTTTTCATTCAAATATTCTTTTTTTTCTTTGGCTTCTCTATGAAAGCCTCCTTCAAATTGATGCCCTACTTCTATATACTTAAAAGGTCATATGTTGTTAAGGTGCTTTTTATTTGCTTTGGTTTATTCTTTGTTTTGTGTCAATTGTTTTGTGGGGTTTTCCATGGCTATTTGTTGTTGTTTTTTTTTGTATTGGCCTTGTGTTTTTTTTTTTGTCCTGGGCCAAGGGTTTCTTTCTGGTTGGTTGGTCTTGGTTGGCTCGCATTGTTGTGGGTTGTAGTTTGTGTTACTGGTCTTGGCCTTGGTTGATTTTGGTTGCTACTGTGGTTGCTACTTCTTCTAAATTTTCTACAGGTTTTTATTTTATGGTGGCTGATTGGGTGCTTTCTATCAGATTAGTCTGGTTTGGGCTCCTCTTTTGAAGGTGTTCTTCGACTGATTATGGTGTTTGCGTGAAATTTTTGGGGGTTGGCATACTGCCTCCCTGGCTTATTTATGTTTGCTTTTTGTAATAGTTAAGATCATTGGCTCATTAAGTTAATTTTACTTTGAATGTTGTATTTCTTAGAGAGCATTTGATCCTCTAAAGATTTGTAACCTTTTTTTTTATATTAATGTGTAGACCCATTTTGTGGGTTTTAACCCAAAAAAAAAAGTTGTTAAGGCGCTTGTTGAAAAGTTGATGTTACACAACAATTTCCAAATTCTATTTGGATTGGCACATTTTTGCATGGTTATAAGTAAAGGGTTATGATGTTAAAGACTCCTAAGTTTTCTTGTCACTATCAGTTTTTTGGGCATGACTTTCCTATTTAAAGAGTTAAAATTCAGAGTGAGGCATTACCACTATTCATGGCATCCCACCTCCAACAATTTCTAACTCCCAGCCTAAGGTGATCCCAACAAATATTATGGCATCAATTCCCTCTTCTTCTTAACCTCTTGCCGCGCCATTCTACCCAAAATGTGATCAAAATATATATTCTCCTTGAATAAGTGATTCCTGATTCACTGCCTGTTTAAGCTAAAGATGAGTATGCCATTCCAAACCCAACATAATTAGCTCTATGCTAAGGTCAAGTGTCAGGCTTATTTTGTGGAAATAGTTACTATTACTCACACCCTATATAATCCTGCTCAGATAAAAGGTTGATTTTTATTAGAGGTTATTCTTCCTCCTCTATCACTTCCCCTAGCTGGTGCTCTCTATGTCCTGTGAGCAATGCCCCAAATGCTCAACTATTTTCTCATTTTGCATCTAACAAATTTCCTATAAATTCTTCCAACTATTTTAAACCTATTTTGAATCATCGGGGCACGCAGCTCACCTTCATGTTGGTTGGGAGCTTTGGCTATCAATCAAGAGGTTTTGGGTTTGAGTGTTGCTTATGTGATGTGCGTGTGAGTTTGTCTTAATTGACCTAAATGTCCAAAAAAAAAATCATCGGGGCAAAAATAAGGAAAAAAATATTATAAGAAGTCCCTTCACCACGTGAAATTATTCTGTGAGGATAAGAACGTCATCCGGAGGTGAATCAGAATGAGCCACATCACTTTTTGGCTATGAACCGTGACTGTATACTGCTGTGCACCGGGTGACGTGACGCGTTCTGATTTGTCTCCGGACAATCCGCATAGAATAATTTCTCCTTCACTTCACATGAGCTTCAGTTAGATTTTAGAAAGTAGTGGCCCAGCTGAATGGGTTACTGATTACGATTTGTGTCTTTATTTGAAAACCAAACAAGAATATTTGCCTTCCAAATTAAACTGAACTAAGAAAGAAAAAAAAGAGAGAAATTATAGACCAATGATTCCTATGATATTTCTTAGTATAAAAAATAATTCATATGCTTAAGGATATTGCAGCTACCTGTTAATCAAATTTAAAGTTTATATTGTATGTTACCTTTGATTGTGCTTTTTTGGCATTAATTGATTCAATATTCCTCCACACTAAACGCTATGGGATCAACTGATCTATTAATTTCTGGAGCAAATAAAACAAAATAGCAGCGTCGAAAGAAGGAAAAACAAAGAAAAAAGAAGGGAAAAACTTCATTTTTCATCTTTAGCTTTTGTGGTGGATATATTTTATGAGCGCCATTCTCCATTTGTCATCGTTAGCTTCTTATGTTATATGTGATGGATTAAATTTATTATGGACAAATATATTTTCCTTAAGCGTCTATTCAATACCTTCGTCCATAATCTTATTATACATCTTTTATAGTAATTTTTTGTATATCACTACTAATAAATTAGGCTTTCGTAGCACTTTTTAAGACCTACTGCAGCGGTTTAGCAACCGCTACAAATATGCTATATTTGCATCGCTGGAAAGGTTTTAACAGCGGTTTAAAACCGACACTAATAAGTTCTACGAAAATCTCATATTTTTTTGTAGTATTATATGCATAAGCCCAAATCACTTGTTTTAATGAAGTACATTAATATATAACCTCGTTAGTTCCTTCACTTCATGAACAAGTCCAAATTATCCTAAGTAATTGATCGTATGGTTCTTTTAAAAAAGGAGAAACTTGTGAAATCCAAGAGAAATTCACAGAGAATTCATGAGAGCCATTTGCAACAAAACGAAGAGCTAATTTTATTAAAGCAAGAACACTAAACTTGGAGTTTACTAGCTGAACAAAAAAAAAAAAAACACATGAAAATAAACTTATCTATTCAATCAAAATTATGCTGCAATCCTGCTTTATTTTTGGAGGATGTCCAAGCCTAAGCTCAAGATCCAATTCTTCAACTTGGCATGTTCTAAGCTTTAGTACCTCATCAGATCTTAAAAGCTGCAGTTGATCGTCTCTAACACTCTTCATACTCAAACCGAACATTAGATCATCAGTACTCTTCAGCTTTTTATAACAGTAACTTGAATCTTTATCAACCCCACAAGCTTCTGATGTTTTTCTCTTGCAATCCATCTCCCCTAACTTCAAATCAATTGAAACTTCAGGAGGCGGATTGGGAAAGGATGAAGCTGAAACCAACATGTTCTTGCTGCAGTTTTCTTGAGTTTGCAATGAGTATGAGGCTGCAGCTACAGATTTGGGACTAGGGTTAGGGTTAGGGTTAGGGCTAGAGTTTTCTTCTTCATTAGAAGAGCTTGAAGCTTCTAGCTTGAGGCGAGCCCGGTCTCGACGGTGAACATTCATGTGGCCGCCAAGCGCCTGAGCCGACCTGAACTCTCTCCAGCAAAAGCTGCACGAGTAGGACCGAGGCGGCCATACGCAGTCCCAGAGATCGCCGGCGGAATCTTTGGCGAAGGCGAACTCCTCCCATGAAGCAAAGGGAGATGCAGAGGGAGAAGTGAGAACTGAATTGATATAGATTGGCCTGTTTGAGTAGTTCTTGCTTATTTCCCACATCCAGTTTCTGGTTTGGTCCATTGCACTTTGCATGGTGAGAGAGATTAGAGAATGATATGAGGTTGAAGAAGATTGAAAGAAGATGATTTCTTTAGTTGGAGCTTCTCTATGAATTGGTGGGATATACAAATCTTATATAGAGGTGAAAGAGTTGATTGATCTCTTAATCTGGGAAGGTGCATGTTGATTAATTGGGGGGTGCTCTTATCTAAATTAGTTTTTTATTGGTAACACTTCAAAACAATAAAAAATAATAGTGTAGCTAATTTTCAAGTAAGTTGTGGGTCAAGCTTTGAGACTTTATAATTTGATGGAATGATTGATAATTTTTATGAATATAAAGTACAGCTATAACTAAATGGTCCTAATTATATTTTATTTCTTATTATGGAATTGAATAAGTTGATAGAAATATGATGACCGTTTATTTATGATAAAATTTAATTAGAAAAATTTGAATATAATAAATATTATTATATGGTAGGAAGAAATTTCTTTCAAGAAAAAAATTGTAATTATTATTATTTTTGGGCGTGATCTTAAAGAAGATATTAAGGATGTAAAAATAAAAAAATAAAAAGGATATATATTTAGGATGTGTTTATATGCATGAATTTGAATGAAAGGAAATGAGAAGTTTTCTAAGGCTCTGTATTGTTTATGTAATATTTTAATTTATGCCCATAACAAAAAAAAAATCGTTTATTTAATTTTGTTTGGTAAACGAAAGTGATTGCATAGCATTTTTAGAGGGTACACTTGCTTGGGATATCATGCATAAGCATACAACAACCTACATAAGTGAGAATTAATATTGCGTAGTGAAAAAAAAAAAATGCTTCAGGATGTTCTAACATGATCTGCGTTTGGACGGCTTAATAGTTTTTTAATTTATGTTGAGATTAGTGCAGCACATGAATTATCACGTGTAACAGTACTAATCTTAATGCAAATTCAATACTATTAAGCATGTCTTGGCCCAACATTTTTCATGAGACATTCCTTAAAAAGAACAAAAAAAAAGAAGAAAAGATAACAAAACGATAAAGAAGTTAATGGAGTCTAAGATAAGGTAAACCCATCCAATCCAATCTCACCAAAACTCTCAAAAAATTGTGGTCATTGTAGCTATGATATAATTTAGTGTTTGATATATGGTATTCATTTGTGGCAAGCCAGTTAGTGCAACTATTCCCTTCTCTCAAAATATGAGTAAAAACATAATCAAATTGATTTAGATAAAATTTGATATTCCTGAAAATATAATGAAAATATAATGAGGATAGCTTCCTCTCGTTCCTTCAAAGATGCTTTAGCTAATGATTCTCATTCTTCGAGTTTTCCAGAGCTAAAAATTACTTCACATTGCTGCATGCCGCCACTCTGGATTTTAGAAGGCGAAATATTAGCTCTTGTTGCACCCTTTGAGTTCGATCTTGTTTCGTAAATTATTTTTCAATCTAAAACTTATTGGGGAAGTTTTTTTGTCCATTCTCAATATGAGACATGTTCTGATTAAATTGGTTAATGATTTGGATTATTGTAGGGTGTTTGTTCACCGGTCTTATTTTGTGAACAATTACTATTTGAAAAATTTTAAGTGGTCTCCCATGTTTGATGTTGAGGTGGAATATCCCATAATTCCTATTTAGGTATGTTTTTCTCATCTTATACCTTACCTTTTTTCACCCCATATCCTTAATGGATTAGGTTCCCTCTTTGGTTGACCTCTTAAAACCGACTATGCTAGTGCTTGTGGTTCTAATTGCCAATTGCTTGGGTTCTAGTTGAGATGGATGTGACCAAATTAACACTATCCGGACTGGGTGTGAGTTGGTCCTGAAAATTTGGGTTATGTTCAAGCTATTATCATGGAAGAATTTCCTTCTTATTGCTCACACTGTAAATCTCTTGGCCATTTGAAGTTGGAATGTTGTCCCTTAAACATTATTCCTCCTAAACTTCTTGTGGGTAATGAGAGTGTTGTGGATTTAGATCCTATAAAGGAGGTAGTTAATGTTGGAGGAGGTCATTTAAGAAGCAATGCTAATGATGGTAGTTTGAGTTTGTCTGTTCCTGAGGTAACTTCTATGGTGTCTCCTGAGATTGATGAGCTTGCACACTCTCCTAAGCTTATGGTTGTGTCTGATGGTTTGGTTAATGATGGTATTGAGTTAATGGTTACCGTGCAAGAGATGGAAGTGATGGAAGTGATGTGCTATTGTCTGTTGCTTTGCCAGTCGCTCCTTCCTTTGGAAATTGTGAGGTAGTTATTGAAGCTTATAAGGCTACTTCCTGTGGTATTAATGAGGATAGTGTTGAGGCTTGTGAGCCTAATCATTGCTTACTAAATATGGTAGCTAGTTCCATCGTATCTCCTTACTCTAATGTTGATGTTAGTGATGGTGAAATTGAGTTTTCTAATGATTATGTCCCTTTGGACCATGGGGACCATCTCTGTGTTTCAACTGCGGGTGAGATTTTGCCTCTTAATTGTAGTGGGGGTGCTAATTCTTTGGATATACCAGTTCGGCTGTTTGCTTCTTTACCTAATGGTGATGAACCTATGGCAAAAAATTTGGGTGTCATTGATGTTGCCATATTTGTTTTTTCCGATGATACTTTGATAGCTCACCTAACTTACAATACGAGGGATTATGAGATTATGTATAGTGACAGATTAAATGATGACATTTTCTCTGCTGATTGGGAGGAATTTTGTGAGAATACATTAGACACTAGGGATAACTTTGATCTAAGTATTCTCCAAATTGTTGACGTTGGTTTCCTTACAAAGAAAAGTAAGCATAAAAAAACGTAAATCGAAGAAGAAATTATTGCTCCTTTTGAATGTGGGTTGGATGCTGGTTCTTTTTCTTTTAGAATGGTTCATCTACGACTGGTTGCAGTCTGCTTTTTTGTTATGTCTGTTGGGTTGGTGGTAATCTTTTCTTACTTCTTTTGGGTTTCGAAAAATGATGATCGAGGAGGTTTCTGTGTGCCACCTCCTTGGCCATTTCTTGTTGGCAACCTTGGTGGTCATTTCTCATTGCGGTTTGGTGCTAGTTCATGGTTTGTGGCCTACAATTGATGGCCCTTGCTTGGCTTGAGGGTGAGTGTGTGTGGCCTCATTACTGAGTCCGGTGGGTGCTCGACTTCTTCACTTTGAGCTGTGCTATTACTTTCTTCTAGGTTTTTGTTGAGCCTGTGTTGGGCTGGTTTTTGTTTATTTATTTATTTATCCTTTGTTGATTGTAATCTTATTTTAGTTGGATCTTAGGCCTGATTTGTCTTACTTAAAAAAAAAGGATGTTATTGCAATACTTTTTATCCATGAAATTAGCCCATAAAAACTGAATAGTGTGAAATTTCCATCAAAACTTAACAGAAAAATAGTGAACTAAGTCAGAGATTGATTTACAATCCACAGCACCCCCTCCAAAGGGAAACAGACAGAGCTAAAATTTCTTCCTCCGATATCCATAACGAGGGTAAACCACGACAAAAACCCTTTCTTAACTCAGGAAAATCAACTGAAATCGAAGAACCAGATAAAGCTTCCACAAAAGAGCGCGATTTAAAGGACCCATCCAAGAAACCGGGGTCACGAACACGACTAACCACCATAATGAAAGGAAAAGGTAGAAAAATGAGAGGGCAAACTTCCCTGGACAGCAACCTGAAGAAAACAATCCCAGGCGGCGGAGACGAAGCCCAGCCGTCGCGAGAGTCCAGGCGGCGGCGATGCCCAGCCGTCGCGAGAGTCCAGGAGAAATGATTTGACATAAATAACTAGACATAGAACAAATGACACTTTTAATTAAAACTAATATGCTAGTCATCAAAAGAAGTTTAAACTCCCAAATAGAAGGACAATCTTGAATTTTCTGAAAATTTTTATCAAACAGAAAAGATTTCGTTCTACCTTTATAAAGGAGAGTACCGAAATAACAAAGGAGATTTTCATAAGCGCGTAGTCGTCAAATAAACGATAGAATAATTTCGTCCTAATTAAATGAACTTTCAATCATATTTTTCAAGAAATCAAAACATAAAGCATACAACATCAGCACTGCTTTATAAATTGAAGCTTTTTATCCCAATAACCAGCCTTTTTCTTTTACTGAAATGCCCTCTCCAGTTACCCAAGTTCATAGGGCATTTCTAATTTAAAAAATCCACTGGATGTGCTTGTCCATGCATGAGGTCAACAAATTGGACAGGATCCTAGCTAGTGTCATGTATCAATAAAATCAAGCAACTATAATTATTTTCTCCAAAAAATATTATGTCCAGCTATGTTGATTGGCCAACATAATAAGAAAATAGCTAAACTTTTGATTTAGCCAAACAGAACCCTTTAATAATGCCTTTGAAAGCAACTCCATTAAAAGAAGTTAGCTAATTAGACAGCCTAATTAAACTATGGCTCCATTGACCATGTTGTCAAGAATTGAAATATTTGTTTGTTATCAGTTCAGTAAATAAATAAAATAAAATCTCCATTGATCAGATTCAATTTTGATTCGATTGATCAAAGTTCACACAGTACCAAACATGTAAAGACGAGGGAGGAGGACTCTGATGCTTAAAAAAACTATTTGTCATCAAATACATGGTAGTTCTTAATTGGGTGTATATGGGAAAGTTTGTTGGGAAATTTTTAGATGTGGGTTCATATACTTATACATATAAATAAAGTATTATATATTAGACGGTATCTAAAATTGAGGGAATTAAATTCATGATCTATTTAAGAATTAAATTATTATTTGACTTATGTGGCATCTCAATTAAATTTGTATGGAATTAATTATTGTGTAGAGGCCGAGTATTTATTTTAATACATTTAAAATATAAAAGGGTCGTGGTCCCCAATTTAAGTGGTTAAGTTCTTATTTACCTCATTTCTCATCTTGATGATTTGATGTCTTTTCGAGATGATCGAAATATTTTTTCCATCTGTATTGAAGACGTTAAACTATATATTTCTCTACCGCCGCGAATATTCCAGGACGCAA